TCTACACCCTTAAAAATTAATGATTCAATGTGACTTTTGATTATGTCTTCTGCCACCATCAATGTGTTTATATTAATAAGCTGGGGAAAATTTCAAGTAAGACTATAAAAGTTTACATGCCATATGCCAGCTGATCATACATCTTTACCTGCTGGAAAACCCCACTGTGCATTTGTTATAGAATGAGAGGAAAGAATATCTATGCATTATTAAGCAAATGCTTTTCTCTTTGTACATCCTCCCAAAGGGCCACAGGGTTCTCAAATCATACCTTGACAACACTGTTATAAGAAACTGTTAGTTCCACAAAATCCCTGACCTACAAGTTTTAGCAGACAGAAACAGTCAGTAGGACACATTATCTTTCCCTGCCAAAAATAGTTTTTAAAATAAAAGGGGTTACCAATAATAGTAATCCATCTAATTTCTTGAATAATATGGACCAAGTTGCAACGTCATCTCTATCTACAATTACTCTGAGAAAGACAAACATTAACAGTGACACTAACGTCTTGTTTTAAGTGTCTATAAGACATAAGCAAGACACAGTATGTTGACATTTGCAGAGTCTAAGGACTGAGAGTGTCAGTGGTTGAGACTAGCGTAACTGAGGCCCTGACTTCAATCCCCAGCACTACAAAACACAAACCAAGATTTTAAAAAATTATAGAATCCGTTATGTTCAAATACAGGAAGAGCTTAACCTTGTCATCCACCCTACAAAATAGGTGGAGGGCTTCAACTACTTCTGAGTCAGACAATTATATTTTCTTCTTTATATTTTGTATTTGTGAATGAATGAACACCTTTCACTACTCTAAGTATGTATACATACAGCAGGGTACTTACGTAGTAGTAGAGTTAATTTCATTGATACTTAGCTCAAGATAATGCAGTAAAGGTTTTGACACGAAAAGCTGTACATCTTGGGAATCATAAATACTAGCTAATGTGTAGGATACCCACACTACCTTCTCAAAGGCCAATAAACAGCAATAACAAAATCACAATGAATGAAAATTCTGGATTTTTCTCTGCACTGATCAACAACTCTCTAACCATGCACACACATGCCCACACACACACACTCTCTCTCTTACACACACACACACACACACAGTGAGAGATAACAAAGAAAAAATAGGAGGCCCCTACTCATCCTTAAAAATTTCCTCATCATTTTATTATAAAATGGGGTGTTCTTAAAGAAATGTATTCACATTAAAGAAAAGCTATTGCAACAATAATCTAAATGTACCTATGTTCTTTAGGGCAAACAAATGATGCATTATAACACAGTCTCAGTCTTTAGGGATCTTCCCTAAGTGAACAAATGCGTATTTTGAATATAATGCAAATCTAAGTACTCAAAGGCAAAGTAGCCATTTGCAAAATTTAGGGAAGGATCAACTCCCTGCAATTCCAACTACTCTCTCCATTCACAACATGATGAATGAAAGCAGCACAGCTTTTCTCAGAATCAGTGTTTGATCCTAAATACAAAAATTGCAATCATTTTCCTCACTGATTTCTGGGCCAAAATGCCCCACTTTTAACAGTAACTGTCACTTCTATTTCTCTTTCCAAAGAGTTTCAACCGAGGCTTAAAATGGTCCAAATCAAATATAAAAAACAATTTAGTTTTTGCATTATATGATTGGATTTACTTCAAATCTTGTGATTTTTACAATCTTTTCTTAACTACTCATGATTTCCTTTGCTATAGCTCACAGAAGAATCAAAGGTAAATCAAGTGTATAAAAATATGCCTACCCTAATTACTAGAAGCCATGCCAGGCACCGCGGCTGGTGCCAGTAAGTCCCATACTCTCTATTATTCCCTGTGGAAAGGAATATTTAAATCTGCAAAATGTAAGAAGGATAATATTAAGAAAGGCATTTCTGAAAGACCTTCAATTCATATCATTGAGCAGGGCTCTCATCTGAAAGATAATCATACCGCGCAGCCTAGACCGAGACATCAAAAGCATCTATTCATCAAACAAATCACATGCTGGCTTATCACTCTCCTGGCCAGGGAAGCTTGATAGAGTCTAACATCGCTACCGAAAATAAATAAATAAATAAATAGTTCACACATCCTTTCTACTAACCATATCTCCCAAGTTTGTAGGAATAGTGCAGCCATAAGTACTCTAAAGGAGTAGCCTATTAAATATTTAGTGATAAAGCAGGGCTGTGAAATAGCAAACACACATTCACCTTCAGCTAAAGACAGTACAATACGCCGAGACACAGTTCTAATGCCATCAGGACCTGTGGAATGGACGACTGCTTAGAATGACATGCTACTAGAAAACAAAGACTAGATCTGATCAAATCTTCTAATGTTAGGACTGGGAATTATTCCAGTTACTTCTTCTAAAATGGGAGGGAAAGGATTCCTTAAAGCCCAGAAAGATTTGCAGGTGTGAAGACTAACACCTTCTACAAATGAAACAAACATACAAAGCTAGATTTTTATGAGTTAAATCATAACTCCACAAGTTTTCTATTCGAGTGATGGTCACCTGAATACCTCTTATAAAATATAACTTAATCAAAATCAAGCATCAATGATTCAATATTTTTCATTAGCAACCTCAGCTTTTTCAAGAGATCAATTTTTTTTTTAAGAAAAGGCAATTAGTGCACGGAAAGACAAAGACAAAGTGCCCATTCACAGTGCCATACTTTCAAAACAAAATAGAACATAGCCATTTTCTACAAACACCAAAGCAGTCAGAGCTAACCTAGAACTAAGGAACTTAATTTTTTCATTATTGAAATTGAAAAGCACTTCTCTTTACACAAGTTAGCTGTTTAAGAAAACTATCCTTGCACAGTTTTTTACCTTTAGTTACTAAAAACAAAAAAAACTGGATGCAACAAAGCTGGGAGACATTTCAACATAAATATCCTTCAACTTCTACCCAAATTATCTAGTATCCTCTTTTGGTGCTACTATAACAGAACTACCGATTCTGTTTGCAATCCTTGCACAGACAAATGGGGCGCCGGAACTTCAGATCATTTAGTACCATTACTAATTCAAAACTGTATTAAGAAATCTAGCTAAGCTCTGTGGTCCCACAGGGAAATGCAGTATGGGAGAATCTCCGAAAAGAAATTCGCGGAACAAGTGTTTCTTTGAAGATTCTGTGATGACATTCTGTAGTGATGCTAACCCCTAGCACACTAAAATTAGCGAACCGCCTATTTACTTCGGAGCAAAACACCGAAGACAATTTTTTTTTTCCTTCCTGCCAGACTCTATGCGTCTCATTTCCCCAGCAGCTGGCTGGAAGTATGTAAAATCGTAAACGCAAGGAGCCCTCTACTTCCTAACGTGTAATCCACCCAGGAAAGTAAACATCACAGAGAGCAGTGGCTTCGGCTGGGAAGGAGACTGTGGCGGGGATGCTCACACAGTTGTTTACAATGTTCTCCAACTACCGCAGGCGGGGATCACACGGAGACCCAGGGAGGAGGCGCCCCGAAGCTGCCTCAGGAGACTCCAGTTCGCCCAACTGCGCTCTATCTCCAGCCACAAAAAAAGGCAGTGCGTGTTTCTATCCAAGCAAAGTAACCAGAGCATTCTTGGGGCCAGGGGCTGATCAATTGCTTCAATCTGCGCCACTCTAGCTGGTCCAGGCTGGGTGCGTCGAGCGCTGCACCACAGACTCGAGCGCCTCGTACGCAGTCACCCAGCTGCGTCTCTCCCGGGGAGAGGGAACGCGCGGGGAGTCTTCCTCTCAACCCTGCCGGGCCCCCTCGGCCTTGGCCTCCTTAAACCAGATTTTCCAGTTAAGCGGATCCCAAGCGATTTCGATGAGCAAGCCTAGCTGAGGAAGCATCAGCTCTCTCATCCCAGCACAGATCTCCGTGCCATCCCCGGGGCGCGCACACGCAGACACGCACACACCGACCCCACTGCCAACTAACCCCGCAGAGAAGGTCGCCCCCACCCCTGAACACCCTGAACACACACGCGCGCGCGCACACACACACACACCTGTACCGGCGGGTGCCGGGCTCGCTCGGCCCGCAAGCGCCCACGGGGACCAGCGTCTGGGTGGCGGAGGCACCGGCGCTGGGCTGCAGCCCGGAGACTTCTCATCTCCCGGGAGAAGGGCCAGGTGCCAACCCTCCTACCTGTAACCGCCGGCCACGGCCACCGACGCTCTGCCCACCCCACCCCGGCTCCAGATTCATTCGGCACCACCCGCTGCCCGTGCCCACGACCGGCACAGCTCAGCCAGGCCACCTACGAAAGCGGCAGCTTCCTCCAGCCACAGCCATCTAACAAAGCCCGGGCGCGCAGGTCTAAACCAAACTGCCGTGAAGGGGACACCGCGCGCAGGGTGCGAGAAGCGGGCGCTGCTCCACGACTCTGGGGCGCGACCTGGACGAACGCGGCCACCGTGGACGCTCGCGGCCGGCGTCGGGAGGGTCGCGCCAGGCTCGCCGCCCCGCATTCTCCGCCATCCAAGAGCCCCGCTCCTCACCGGTCCCCGGCGCTCCTCCAGCCTCTCCCACTCGACTGGAAGAGCCCCGGCCCGGCGGAGAACAGGCGCCCCCTCGACTGCCGGCTGCCCTCGCGGGGGAAGACACGGGGGGCGAGGGGAGGGGAAACTCCGGGGACCGAACCCGTGCCTGCGCCCCAGCGTGTGCGCCCGCGAAGGCGCCGGTCTCCTCTGCCGTTCGTCACCCGTCGGCCGCCACATCGCCCAATGGCTGGGGAACCTCGAACCCGTGCCCAACCAAAGCCCAGCGCCCACCAGCCAGGAGGCTCGCTCCCCGCCCCGCACCACGATCGGATGAGTGTGTGTGCGTGCGTGTGCGAGCGCGTGAGGGCGAGTGTGAGGCGAGTGTGCGAGTGGAAGGGTGAGTGTGCGCGAACCCCACAAGCCCCCCTCCCAGCTGCTTGTCCGGCGAATGCCACCGCCTGCGCCGGGCCAGGGCAACCACCACCAGGGAGAGTGCGAGGCTTAAATTACCTTTCGCCACCGCCGGTCCCGAGCTCGTCCCATCAGCTCCTCAACAACCTGCAGCGGGGCGCAGTTTCCAATCCGGCCATGGAGCACGGGGCAGCGCGGGTCCCCGCCACCCGCGGCGGGGACGGAGGACGAAGTGCAGAGGGCGGCGGGAGGGTGGAGACCCCAGTCCAGCAAACAGCAACAGAAAGTCTCTCTCCCTGTCTTCGGCTACACAGCCATGGAGAAGGGAAGGGGCGGGAAAAAGCCCCAGCGCCCGGCTCCGCTTAGGCTTCCTCGCTTCCCACACCCCAGCGGGGCGACAGCGGAGCGCAGAGAAAGGAGGGTCCACACGTCTCCCGAGTCCACAGTTGCACAACTTCGGAGTCGGGCTGGGTCGGCGGCGGCCGGGGACCGCGGGCGGCTCTCAACCTGCGGCAGCCGCCGCCGCCACCGCCGGGCTGCTGCGCCCCTCGCCGCCGCCGCTCGGGAGAAGACGCCGCCGCGCGCGAGGCTCTGCCACCATCCCCCGCCGATCGCAGACCCAGTTCCCACCCCACCCCCTTCCCTTTCTTCTTCTTCCTCCTCTTCCTCGTCCTCCCCTCCGCCTGGCGCGGGAGGGCTGCGAAGGCAGGGCAGCGCGAGGGCCCGGCGCCCCTCCGCGCGCGGCTCTCCGTCTCCTCCCGCCGCTGCCCGGGCTCCGCTGTCCGCC